AATTACAACTCAATAGTTCGCAAGATGGATTGTGTTTAGTTATTTAGAAAATTCAAAAGCTCACTGTAACATACTCACTATACAGAACGTTGAAAAATCATGATTTGTGTTTCGTCTTATTTAAAACTTATCAGTAAAGTGTGCCTGGACTTTGGAATTTAAACCATATACATTTATTTTCAAACACCAATGCATTATTCACTTAACTACTGGATCTCAGAGTGAATATAAACTGTGAGAAGCAGGTGAATCTATCTAGTGAACCCGAAATAATAGGAAACTTACATCCTTTTAAATAGTTATAACTTAATAGTTACATTCAGGAAATCCTCATAGAATGCACATATATCAAAACATATCATTGATCAATTGTAGTCCTAGACAACAATAGGGAATTACAACTAGTACAAATCAATATTTTCTATATATATTTAATATGTACTTTATCACTATACGAGATGTGATTATTTTTGGAATATATAATTTCCAAATACAATTTCCTTTATTCAATAAATAATTTATTTGATTATCATTAAATATACCACCTACCAACCTACCTACCCATCAACATGTATGTACACATTCAAAGCTTATGGAGATTGGAGATATATATATATATATATACTGCTGACAATCTCTTTTTTTTCAATTAGACGAGATGGTGTGAATCTTGACAAAACGTTTGGTTATTTCCAAGAAAAAAATAATTTTCATTTTTAATTTTATAATAAAATGTTTATGTGATTGCCTCTAGAGAGTAAGACAGGCAATAGGATGAAATGCTTTAGTGATGACGGTTTAAATGAATTATGTTAACCATGTATGTAAATCGGCATGTTTGTATGATTGTAATAAATTGGATAGTCTAATGGACAAAACACCACATTCTAATCATGTTAATTTCGACCACATACTATCCATTTTATGTTATTATTATTATTATTATTATCATCATCATCATCAATCTTTGCTGTTTCGTTGTTGTTCAATTTTAAATTTTTTTTTACTTAATTAATGTGAAGTTATCTTCTCTCTCTCCCTCTCCCTTTCTCTCCATCACTATATCATTCATACATTTTCTTTGTTATCCTTCTTCCTTCTTCCTAATCAACCACTTCTCACTTCACTTATTATTCAACTTTCTATCCTGTCGAACGATACATATTTATCTTTATGTTCTGTTTAATTAAAACCGAATTGGAATTTTGTTGTGTTTTGTTTTTTTAAGTGAAAAGACAATGTTTCAATTCATGAAAGACATGAAATAAAATTCTATTTATATCTGATAGTTAATAATCTGTGAATTTGAATGACTTTTTTTTGTTTTACATTCAGAAAAGTTTTTTTCTATCATAGCCTCCTTCATATTTACAATTGATTTCAGGGACTGAATGAAGCTAGACAATTGTTTAAAAGTTGGGGGACCACTGAGTCGATTGGTTTCATCCTAGCTTATGAAATTGCTGAATGGAATATATGAAATCTCAACCATGCCAGTGATCAAAACCCAAGTTGAAGTACTTCTACAAACTTTCATCACTGATAATCTTCATCAATTTCTTGCTGTTGATGTTTCCTCAGAAGTGAGCGTCCGTGATCCCCCAAGTGTGAATAGAACTGAGAACCTTCAATCTTGCACGCGAAGACTTAACTTCTATATCATTGAGCCAAGGGTCTTATGTTGTATTTCAATAAGTGCAACAATGATTATTACATGATTATAATTAAATCCAACAATCTTCACAATCCTATACTGACTGTTATTAATTAGTTGGATGTAATCTTATAAAGATCTTTAGTATTGGGCTAAACAGCAGTGTACACTCATTACTTTACAATGGGAATTCAATACAGTGAGGCTGTAACTGTTACAATAAATACGATGTAGCTACTGAATATAAATCAAGTAAATCGGATTGTGATGACTTCAGTCAATCAACAATATAGAGTAAAAATGATCTTACAATATTATTGTTTTCTTGGTGTCCTACTCTATAATTGTCTCACTTCATAGATAATAATATTCCAGCCAAACTATTGATGGAATTTGTTTCGAACCTAGTCAATAGATGATTATACAAGAACTTATCCAATTCTTAAAAAATATATTTGACCATTTTAAAATGATATTACTTAACTGTCATAAATGTTGACTAGGAGAGATAACACTGAATGAAAATCTCATCATCATATTATAAATATAAATAAACTTGAAGACGTAGAACAGCGAAATCTTTAACTGGAATACATCATGATTACTGAGAGACAGAGAGGATTAGTGTGTTCAAACCTCTACATGAAGATCATGATTTTACTGACCATCGTAATGAGACAAAATGGTGGTTGAATATAATCTGGTTGATTCGCCTCTTCAAACTATACAAACGATTCAGCAAAACCTACTTCAAGAATTGTATATTACAATTCAGATAATAATAATTTGATTAATCGACTATCTCTTATTCTACTGAATAGTATAAATATATATGGAATAGCTTGTTGATACATAATTAATAAGATAATTGTTTGTTTTTGTTTTTTATACTTTAAATCGGTACATGTTATGTAACAACATTGGCCGACTATTTCATTAAGAGAATTAAAATAAGTTGGGATATGTTCATAAAAATTATCAAAACATTTTCTCCCTAAGTATTATGACTAATCGATATTGTCATTAATGTGTAGTCTTTGTAGACATTTTTGAATGTGATTGGCTACATCGTGCACTGATCGTTTCGTCATGGTATAGAACTCTACAATGGTAAATATTCACATCCCCATTTAAGATAGAACTCGATCAGATCATGATGAGAATTATACAATTCATCAACCTCTATAAATCTCCCATACCAATACTATTAATAATAATCATGTGCTCACTAAGTGTTAATTTCGAGAATTTTAGTGAGAAACCGTGACTGGTGAATTTCATTTGTATCAAATGTGATGTAATCTCTCAAAGATAACATTCAGAAATGGTTTCACAATATTATGAAATGACTAACGGTGAGGATGCAAACTATCGGAGCCGACTCAATAATATAAATGTAAGGCGCTCGCTGTCAAATCTAGAGTTTCGGAGTTTGATCTTCGGTGGAATTTTGGATGAACACTGCCTCTGCAGTTGTATACCAAATTGCAACAATTGTCTAGTGTTTTCAGTTAGTTTCGCTGATTGTTTAGCTAAGATCAGTCCGTTGAATAAATAATGTTGTTTCTTTGAAATCATTTCATTTTATGCTGTATCAAACAATGTCTATGCAAAAATCTTTCCGGTCACACGGCCACCTATTTAAGAATTTTAAAAGTTTTTGCATATGAATCAAGGAAAATGAGAAAAAACACTGTGTTAAAGAGAGGAAAAATAAACTTTTGATTATTTTACTTTCAGGACTGATCTAAGCTGGAAAATCGTTGAATATTAGGAAACAGTATTTGGATGTTTCATCATAGATTAAAAACTCAAAATAATCCTCATCCAGCCACTCTGTATTGGATCATTACCAAAAACACGAGGCCTTTAGCTAGTCCTCATAACCCTTTATTGACTTATTTTTATTATCTTTCATTGGAAATAAAGTTTGAAAGGTTTATCATTGATAGCATTATGCTTGTCATTAGGCTTGAAAGTCATGAGTTCAAAATTATTAGGATTCGCAAACTAGGATGAATATATCAACTAACAAGTATTTTTTTATTAATTATCCACCAGTGCTAAGGTGGATATCAGTTCATGATATAAACTATATTTTAACTGATTAAAGTTTTGCAGAGATTAGTTTGACTTATAAAAGTGTGACATCACTTAAAGTTTATTTGAAAACTGGGAGGCTACTTGTCCCTTTCTTTCTTATTTGGGAGCGTACAATCATGGTCTCTCGGAAAAAAATGAAGTTAACATAGTAAAATCTTACTAGTGAACCCTTAACCATTTAAACCACTGAGTTGGAATTTAATGGCGCGAATCACCGAATACAATGTTTACTTATTTATTCTATTATTAAAACACATAAACATTGGTACGAGGAGCTACCGAATAGATATGCGCCACATAAATCATTCGATTAGTTCCTGAAAGAACAAATGGCGTATGAACCAATCACTGATGACCGGCTACCATGGAGCTGCATCTTCTGGCGTTGTTCCACTGCCTTTTGGGTCGGACCTTTAGGTCAAAGTCTCCAGGCGTGACCTCCTAGGAAAACCACCTGCTTTGGTTTGGGTAGCCGGGCAGTATCCCAGCATTCACACAAATCAAAACCGAATACAATGAATATGTGGTTGATTGTTAAGATCATTTATTGTCACTGGTAATATCTGTTTCACTGACGACTTGATTAAGATTATTTGTCACAAAGAATATGCATTTAATTTCTCAAGTTTTAGTTCAATGTTATGGATGATGATTGAAAAATGATTGAAAATTATTCTTCATTTAATAAACTTCACAAAATTTTTAATTGAATAAGATATCAGTCAATAACTGTAGGCATAGAGAAAAAACGTGTTACACGTAATTTCAAAATAATGTTAATGTAATTCGAAAACCTCATAGAATTCGTAATTATGCCACGTCTAATAACACGACTATGGTAGAACTATTCCTAATAATAATAATAATAATAATAATAACAATTATTATTATTATCTTATAGGTGAAGTATTGAAAATCATGGCAAAAAGAATTGTAACAATTCCCCTACAGTTATCCATGTTATATTATTTTAATCAAATCTTTCACGCTACATTTGAATTAATATCATTCCCTCCTAAAGTATTTGTATAAGTTATCTGAGCACATTTATCCCCTTATCCATTCATGAAATTTAAAGAAAACATCAATTTCCCATCTTACCAAACATGTGTGTCTTATTTTTTTTGGTTTACCTCACAACGTATTTCAAATTATTTGTGTGTGTATGTGTGTGTAGGTGTGTAAGTGAGTATTAATTATAATAATAATTATTATTATTATTATTAATAATTACTAAACTTACCCCAGGCAACGTCTGTTTACCATGTAAAGCATCTTGACATTTTAAAGCTGATTGTCTATGACAAAATGTAACGAAGGCACAACCTATAAATTGAAACATTGTACAGATCATTAATTGTATTATTATTATTATTATTATTATTATTATTATTATTATTATTATTTTAACTAATAGCTATGGATTCAAAATACAAAAAAAAAAATAAAACAACAACTAAATAGCTTTAGAAAATATCTACATATTTTAATTGGCTTAAAATAAAGTTTCAATGAACATGTTGAGCTGTTATGATGATTATTCTTCCGGAACAAAGAAAAAACAAAAAAACTGTTATATAATCATGAAATATTTATAAATAATTACCAGGTATTAATAATACTCTATAAAATTTTGTTATTCTTTTTGGCATAGAAATAATCATGTGAGATTATATTTTATATAAAATTATTATATTGAATAGAATTAAATATATACATATATATAAGTGTTATACTACTTATGTTGATTAAACTTAAGTAGTTAATTGATTTAGATTATTACAGAAATATTATTGATTCATATAGATTAATCGATTTCTTTAATAATTGAATTCATCAGTTGATGTAAACTAGACCGCCATTGAAAAAATGGAAGCACTGCACGGCCTTTTCGCACTGTCGAACAGTCCCATACTAAGACGACTCATGAAATCAACTAATAAAAAATCATTACAATCTCCACCACCCTCCTATTCTAATAATTTATCAATCTTACTAATCCTGTATAGTTGGGGCTATATTATGAATGAAACTAGACAGATTTATTATGATATTTATGAATATCAGTCTTTACAATTCAGTAAAGAATAGAGAAGGGAAACAGGTAGTAGTTATTTTCAGTACATTCAATTAATACTTCACACTTAACTGTTGCATAGGTAGTTCTTCTAAACTTATCTATCAAATTTTATCCAACTTAACCGCGACTTTTAGATTTCTTGTTTTTAAATATGAAATTAGGTTATAGAAATCTATGCAACTACATTTCTGATCTCCTTACGTCCGAAAATGTTTACATGGTCATCTTTTGTTTATTCTGACCAAATAACTAAGTACAAAATTACGTTCACATTTTCATCATTTTATGTCATATTCAATCACTATGTAAATAGTTTTGATTAGTTTCTCATTCCCTCGTATTAATCAATTATTTTTTCATAGATATCAATACGTCTAGTTGTATATCAACACTCCTAGGTGGTTTGAGGCAGTCAGTGAGTGGAGAACTCTTCTTGATGTAGATTTCATGTTAGTTGACACTTTTCAGAAGAGCATATCCTTAAACTTGAGGGAAGTTATCTTTCATACACTTTAACAATCTGCAACATAACCACTTAGCTATTCTGAAATACTTATATTGACTGATCACTGAGCAGTGAGCAACGTCATGTTCGTCTGGTGATAGGTGCTGCTGGAATTCTATTGATCAAATTGGAACGTAGCTACAATTTTTAGTGGCTTGACATGGTGTGCATTATATAATGATGTTAGGTATTTGGATTAGATCGATGAGAAACTCTGAAAAGGGGAATGTGATCTACTAAACATCAATTCAGTAGCCTGAGATTGTCTTGTTTACTGTGAGGTCGGAATACTCGGAGTTCAATTTGTTATAAGATTTTGAATGCCTACTAGTGAAAAGTCGTGAACCAAAAAGTTCATCTGTATTTTAAGGTTTATTAAGACAGTTTCTAGACCTTATTGTTAAAATAATATTCCTACATAACCTCATTAATCCGAGTGTGAATACCTTCTCATTATTCTTATAGCGAAGAGAAATGTCATGGGAAATTGTCACGTACAAAATTTTTATTGTTGAATTGATTCAAACGTTAGTGGGATAGAGTTATGAGATGGCGATACAATGTAGCTGTTCGTAGAAAACACCTACTTTAACATACCTACACTTCAATAGCTCGTCTATTATTCAATAAACTACTAATCAAATAGTTTCTTGGCAACTATCCTGTAAACAAAATATATTAAATCAGGAGTTAATTGATTTCAGTGGTATGCACAATCTATATAGGAAGAAGTACCGGTTTGACACGTTCAACATTATCATTGTAACTTAATGATGATGAAAACTAAAAAAAGTTAAACAGTGTGAAGATTATATCAAAGTGTTTCCATGAGAGTTTTTAAATTATGAAAGATAAATGTCACTCACTTTTTACTTTACGCTAGAATCTACACGTCATCCATTCGAGTCTGATAGACAGGTCCACATGTACGTCTTTCATTATGTCAACATTAATTAGGAAATTAAATTTAAAAAAGTGTCCTTAATTTCGGTAAAATTTCTCTTTGATAAACAATCTATCAATCGAATTGTACCATTATTTATTTACTTTATAGTAAATAAAGTTTAAACCAATATTTTTTGAATAAGGGAGTGACTCAAACTTTCACCCTTCCAAAATCTACGGTTCACAAGTAAATGTTCTTTGTGTAAGTTATATTAATCACAAATTAATCTCAGGGGTCAAAGTGGAACCTGAAGTTTCTAGATGTGATACCTCATAAGGTCGTGTATGTTCACTTGCATTTGGAAGTCGTATAGTAGGAAAAAATTGGTGTCCACTGACCCCTGGTTTTCAATGGCGCTCTTACTGAAAGCGGTCTACATTGAACACAATCTACAAATAAAACCGATCTCCACGAAACCCCTTCAACCGAAATAGATTTTTTGGAAAATAAGCATAACTAAGTCGTTGCTATGTGTTCACAGTTGTTTTAAGCAAAACTCTCGTTTAAGAAAGTTTCAACTAATGTTAGTTTATGTATGTCCGAAATGATAAGATACAGGTTTGCATATGTATATCTATTAACATATGTGGATAATAATGTAGAATTGTTTCACTCAAACATCTAATTAATTATATTGATGTCTGCATGAGGTATATGTGTGTATGTCTCTATCATTTTGTGTTGAACAAAACAAGTAAATTAATGGATTACCGAATCAGATTACATTCAGTCAGTATAACATAGTTTTGGCTAGTTTCTTTTAAAATAATTACTACTAAAAATAATGAATATAGAGAATGTCTCTATTTCTCCGACTCTCAGTCAATTTTAATCTATTTCTTTCGACATCTTTGAGACATTAATTTTTTTGTATGACCTAAGATTTAGATATGAGAAAATACCTGATCGATGAAAACACATGTTATTAAGCCATCTAACAATTTCATTGTATTCTAATTGAAATCCACTTCAACCGTCTCTCAGGGATATCCAAAGCATAAACGGTATCTTTTTTTAAAATTTTGTTGAGAAAATCTTATTATTATTGAAAAGTTTGTAATGGCTCATTTTAATTTGAAAATAGTTTAGATTGATAAAGTTACTATAACTGAGAGAGTAATTCTAAACTGAGTTCGAGGCTAGGACGCACTGAATAGTCATATTGCATTAGTCTTCAGAAATGCATATTATACCAGGGAAGGAGAAAATGTTTATCAGTAGGATTGAATAATTTTCGTACTAAAACATAAATTAATTGAAGTTGGATCTGCTGTAATGTTGTCTTATAACTCAGTGGACTTAAAGTAGCGCACTTGCCTTGAAACCTGAGGGCAATTAAATGTTCGATACGTACGTCTGAGGAGCACTGTACTAGGACAAAACTGCTGTTCATTATAAACGTTTTAAATTTTTTTCTTATCCATTTGCTTACAATTTATTTATTAATCTTACAAATGGGTTTTAGTAAGTTAAGGAAAATATCTCCTTGTCAACCAACATCATCTAGAGATAATGAAAACCAGGAGACGTGCACGTGTGATATATGAACTTATCAGTGGTGATAATCCACAATCGTTTATTCAGTAAGCATCAGGAACTTTAAATCTTTCAAAGTGAGTGGAATACATCTAGACCGCTTAGATAGAATTTGACATTCTTTCTCACACTTCATCTTTTGCATAGCTGGGTTGTTCAAACGTAGAAATTTGCATCAGTGACTAATTTGAGTAGAAATCGATCATTGAGAGTTTAGTTCTCAATGTATGTGAGAGGCACCGTATGATTAGTTAATATCATCACCATTAGACTTTTCTGTTTTCATTCATCCTTCTACTACTATTATTGTTGTGTTCTTTTTAGAAGGACCATTCTTGATACACATCTTTTCAAATCGTTGTGTGTTCACGACCGGATGGAATGTGATGTCTATTTTTTTAACATGTAAAATTTATTTCAATGAACCTTCTAACTATTTGATTCACTTTATTACTAATTCAGTAATTAATCACCTAACTGATGCATTCTGTTCGCTATTTTTTTTTGAAATTTTTTATTAATTATGAGAATGGTGAGAATTTAATAACCGGGTTGTATTATTTGTTTATTCTTTATTAGAACTACCCACTCTTATCCCCCACCATTGTAGAGATCTAAAATTCTATCCTACTTTCACAAATATGACGAAACCATAAATTTGTTTTTCAATTAACTGATTAATGATTGAGAATTTCAATTATTTCTCAACAATTTTGTTGTTGGTAATCTGAATAAGTTACCATTACTATTGTACACGATCGTTCTCATTTTCATTGTCATGTCAATCACTGGTGAGACATATATTGTAAAAAAAAAAGGAAGTAGCGCGAAATAACACTAGTTAAAACAACGAATTTACAGATAAACACATAATTCATTAGAATTTTTGAATGAATAAATAAGTAGTATCGTGTTTTCTTTCTTTAAAAAAGAAAAGTTTTTGCTAGTTTATGTTATTTATGAGTATGAGTAAATTAAGTGAATAGAACAAAGAAAGTATTTGAAGGGAGCGAGGGAAGGAGGTGGGGGGAGGGATTAAAATTATTAACTATTCATCATTTGTGTATTGCATAGTAATATTCTATTTTCTTTAAATGAGTAAAGTTCACTTCTTAAAATGTTAAATTTTCAAAAAAATTTTATTAAAGAAAAATTACACAGATAGTTGTTACTGATTTTATTAAATGATCAATACAATGCATTATTCGTTAACTAATGTGTAACAATGGTAACTAATCTTATGATATAACAGTTAATAA